TGCATGAACTAGACCAAGCTAATGAAATCGCTTCTCACTGATTTTCCCTTATTGTTCTATTTTGCATCCTTCAAGTGGGAAAATCTTTCAGGCTGCTTTTTGGTTAGACCGTTGCAGCAGAGTCCAGACCTCGAGTGCCCCTTTTATTCATGCCCTTGCAGCACAAATGTCTGTTTGATGACCGTTTGACGTTATTTACAAAACAATTTACCGAATTAGTTCTGTTATTCCACGGTGGCTGAAGCGAAATACGTCATTCGCCCGTAAATCCATCAGCCGATAACAAGCCTGAATACCCACTAGAAACAGACTAACCATCCATGAGCCACTCAATTTGCTATTATAATTATTACACTTCCTACTAAATCTTTCACCCTTCGCCTAAAGTTCTAGCCTCCCATAAACTGCCCAACTTCGGCACCTCATCTCATTTTTCACTAAGACTGCCTGGTTACACAAAAGCAGCTGGCCGAAGCTCATCGTAAATGTGCACTTCCAGGCTTCACTCACGGGCCCAAGAAATCACCAAATCTAGACCTTCAAGAAATAGTGCTGCAGCCGTTGATGGTCCAGCAGAAAACGCATATCCACCAAAATCGGCCCGAGCCGGACTCGTAGATCAGTGGTACCATGCATCGAGCGATGCCCATCGGATGTTGTAATGAAAAGTTTTGAGACAAAGCTCTAGAAGAGATTTACAGAGAAGAGTTTTAAAGATTAAGTAAAAAAACACAAGAAAACTGGGCGATAATCGGGTGGTTTGCTGGGATGACTAAATGGCACAACCAGATGGGGAACACCTTCAAGCCTGACATTCTCAGATCAATCAGACCCTCTAAAATCTAGATCAGAGCCGCTGAAGTGACATGCTGTAACTAGCCCCAGCGATTCTGTTTATTACTTGCAGCTGCTGCCTCGGCATCCTCGGCTACATATCGGAGTTGGACGCCGTGCAAGAAAAAAAATCGTAACTCATGAAAAAACCACCCAGGGTTCTCATAACCGGTCCAGGTGGTGCAGATCTAAAGAAGTAGAAAATACGATGATTTGAAAAATCAAAAAAGACTATGTAAAAAATCCACATGAAAGGCTTGAGGGCCCTGTTTTTCAATTCCCTAAAATGTCTAAATCTTAGCGTCTGGGGTGGTTCTAGAGCAGCCGCAGAGATGAGAAAACCGTTAAATGGATGCGGTGCGGGTGACGAAAAAAAAAAAAAAAAAAAAAAGGTTGGCCTACCGAGGCATTGGAGAATGCTTGACGAAAAGGCAAGACAAGTCACAAGAAAGCATGTCACGTGGGGCGTCGTCGTCGTCGTCTGGCCCTGCTAAGCTTTCCTCCGGAAGGCTGTGTAAACAAGGTTTTGTTACTTGACGATCGTGCTTTTTTGCCTTTGATCTACTTTTTCTCGGATCTGTGCAATTCACGATGCCCTTTTGTACTAGCACAATGTAGTGCCTTTAGGTGAGCATTGGCGGTTGCAGAGGGGGGCATTGTGAGAAGGAAGCGAGGCTTGGCTGCAGGAGTTTCGGCGTTTGAAGGGACAGTGTACCGCGTTTTGTGCAGGCCGCGCGCCTGGGATGAAAACAAACCTGGCAGTGCTTGCGTGAGAATCTGCTTGTGTGCAGGATGCCACCCTGCGAAAACGCTGTGCGCTTCCGCTCGCCGCGGGCGCCGCGCATGCAGGTGGGTGAAACTGGCCCCACCGTCCCTGCTATACGACACATAGTTTTTGACAACCGGGAGGAAATTCTGAATAATTTTAATAATTCAATAAAAGTGTTGAAAAGCGGAAGATGTAAATCACGTGAGGACGCCCCCTCGTGCGGCGGGTAGGGCGGGAAATCACCCCCTCCCAAAAAGGGACGTGCCCAGCAGCTGGCTGTTCCACACCAGCATGGAGGCTGCCGCGGGGAGTGCACACAGGCGGCATTTCTCTGTTTATGCTCCTAGTACCCAGCGTCCTGCACGCAGGGCGCGTGCCGGCCCACCCAGGCTCGTGCAGCACCACTGTCGCAGAAATACCAGCGTAAATCTCAAGACTTTCTTCTTTCTTCAACCACTACACTCTTTATCCTAACTTCAGTCATTCCTTTACTAATGAAGTCCACTGCGTTGTTGGCCCTTGCTGCCTCCCTCGCTGTCGCCTCCGCCGGCGATTGCTCTTTTGAAGAAGGCTACCACTACTGTGCCAAAACAAACAAGGTCGCTTTCCAAAACGTCGGTTTCCTGGACTCCTACCAGGACGTTGTCGCCATGGACGAGAACTCCGGCAAGTGTGAGCAGAAGACCTACAAGTTCTCTGGTAACTTGGCTCCTTTGAACGAGGAGTTGTCGTTCCACTTTAGAGGTCCTTTGAAGTTGAAGCAGTTTGGTGCCTACTACCAATCCTCCGGCTCCAAGAACAACAAGAGAGAGGACGACGAGGACTGCACCACCACCCAGCACGTCCACCACAAGCACGTCAAGAGAGCCACCGCTTTCGTCACCCAGACCGTGTTTGTTGACCAGTTTGGCAACACCGTGACTTCCTCTGCCACTGAGACTCCCTCCACTGCTGCTGGTGAGAGCTACGACACCACCGAGACCAACGTGGCCTCTGTCTCTTCTGACGGTGGCGCCAAGTCTTCCAACGGTGCCGTTGACGCTTCCTCCTCTTCCTCCTCCTCGAGCTCCTCGTCCACTGCTTCTGCCAGCTCTGGCGACTGGGTTCGTTCTTCCTACTACAAGCCTGGCACCGCCGAGAACTGTACCTTCTTGAACCACCACGGTGGCTCTGGTTCTGGTGTCTGGTCTTCTGCCTTGGGTAACTCCCTTTCCTACGCCAACAGCGACAACTCCAACGCTGCTTCCTCCCCTCAGATCTTGGACGACATCACCATCAAGTCCAACACTGAGTTCGTCATTATGTCTGGCCTCAAGTGTGGCGACGACTCCGAGAACGGTGACTGTGGTTTCTACAGAAAGGGTATCCCTGCCTACCACGGTTTCTCTGGTGACACCAAGTTGTTTGTTTTCGAGTTCTTGATGCCTTCTGACGGTTCTTCTGGCTTCAACGCCGACATGCCTGCCATCTGGGCCTTGAACGCTAAGATCCCAAGAACTTTGCAGTACGGTGAGTCCACTTGCTCGTGCTGGAAGACCGGATGCGGTGAGTTGGACTTGTTCGAGATCTTGTACTCTGGTTCCGACAAGTTGATTGCCCACATCCACTCTGGCCAGGGCTCTGGTGGTACCGGCTACGGTGGTGGTGGTTCTCGTGACTACTTCGAGAGACCAACCGAGAAGGCCATCAAGGCCGCTGTGATCATGACCGGTAAGGAGATTGTCATCAAGATTGTCGACTCTGACTTTGACGAGGTCTTGACCGCTGACACTGTCGACGGCTGGTTGGAGGCCTCCGGCACCGTCGCCAAGATCGCCAACTAGATATGATATCCTGCCTGCCATTTACATTCTGATTTGTTTTACTTAGTTGATATGAAAAATTTACCCTAACCTGAGTGTAGACTTCCGTTAACCACGGCAAACTGTCACTAAGCCACTGGCACGGAAAAGCACAAAAAAATTGTGACGACGAGGCTGAAGAGCAACAAACAAACGCATTGCCTAATTCTCCACTAAGGCGGTCTACGCTATATCTTTTTTATTTTTGGCCTCCTTGTTTACATCGCAACTTATGCTTGTTCTTCAATTTTACCGCAGCAATAAACAGCCAAGACAAATCTTCCACCAACGCGTCCGCGTCGACCCCTCAGTGAAACGGGAGATTTTCTTTATTTTATTGATTGTAGATGTTTGGTCCGTGGTCGTGTTTTTACGACGCCAACAAAGCCGGAATCTGTAGATCGTGTGGATGTACGTGGGGTAAAAAGGGGAGGTCGTCAGGCGGGTGGATTTGCTGATTTCGAAGATTTTGTGATTCCATTGTGTAGGCTTATTGTTTGACGGTTTTCCTTTGGTTTTGTTCAATTGGTGGTGGTTGGTTGATGTCTCTCACGGAATTGAGAGAGTACAGATGCGTCAAGATCAGAGGGTGCATTTGCAGAGAAGTTTTGGATTTCTGACTTCAATTGCAATTTTGCAATCACTCTCTTGCTTAAGCTTTCAAAGTCAATTCGTCTAATTCCTTCGTCTACTTTCTTCGTCTACCGGAAACAATGGCGGGCCAAACTCTAATGCGTTGACGGTGGCTGCGAAATCTATATATATGGAGCACAGCCGAGGTGTTGGGAATTTGTCTTTTGGAATGTGAGTTGGGTATTTCGTTTGCAATCGTTGTTGAAGATGATGTTTCGTCTGAGTTTTCAAGTTGATTGCTTGGCTTGATCCCAAGACCACTTAGTATCGTCTTGGTCTCATTGCTATACACAAGATAGGATATCACACATTTCATCCATACAAAGTCAATGGAGATATTTTTAGTAGCTGCTCAATGGAATTCGGGCTTTCACTGTCTAAATCACGAAAATCAGCTCGAAACTATGTCCCTGACATATCCTCTTATTCTATTCATAATTTTCCAGCTTAGTTGAGCCTTTCAAGGCAATGCAAGTGTCTGCGATGAAATGCCACCAAAAGCAACTGCTTAAGAAATCTATACTAGAAATTTGGGAAGATTGCTGTTCAAAAACGATGCTTCATAGATTAAGCTTCTCTAAATTTGTGTATCTCTTGCATTTTTTGCAGCGTCTTTCCCATCACTACATCCATCAATTCTGCTATGCCGCTTTACTTTTGAAATCAAGACCTTCCCAATGCTTTTGTAATTTTTCTTTCTTTTCAACACTGCCTACTGAATAAAATAATCACAGCTTAATGCACTATCCGTTCCTCGAAATGGTGAATCTTTAGGAGTATTTCAGACCTTCTGCATGGCATAAAACTACATTTCCAACTCTTGGTGAACATAAAAGGTCGAAGAATGCTGTCCTCTTTTTAAATATCCTGATTTCTTTAAGCAAGCTTCTAACAGCCCGACTTTGTTAGGCAAACTCCTCAAGATGGAAAAGCACTCTCTTTACTTTATCTACAAGGGAAGAAAACTTGAAAATATCGCAGCTAAATTCACAAAAGACGTCGAGAAGTATCCCACCTTCGAAGACTTCAAAACACACACCACCGTCTTTGGCGGACAATATTGGGTGGTTAATACTTTCTCATTAACCAACCTACCTCTCCACATCAGCAAAGAACCCATAGACGAGGTTCGGAAACAGCAAGGTATTCAAGGTTTTGGGGAGGGTCCTAAATTGAAGGATGAAAATGGCAGGGTTGTGTTTTCAATTGCCAGGTTGGACCAGTTTTATACCAACCCTATTCCAGAATCCAGGACGCCAGATTTTGACAAGTTATGGGCCCTGCGTTGTCTTCAAATAAAAGACGAGCGGATCCCAGTTACATTTCCTATTTCCATAATTCTGCTGGACAATCCACAAGAGGTGTTCTTCGATCTGGTGCTGCTGTTTGAAGAAATCGACTCTACTACACATGTTGGTCTCGAAGCGAGATACAAGAAGCCCAAGCTTTTTGACTCGATGACTCCAGGTAATATCGTTACTCCTGGGTCTTCATTATCTGACTTTATACAGCTTCAGTTGGTTCTGAAAGATGCTGAATTCTCAGAAGGTTCCCTTGATTGTTTAACTGCGATACTAGAGGAACATACAACATGTCCGGTTTTGATTGAAGGAGAGACTCGAATGCTGAAAGATGTTCGGAGTATAAAGCTCTGTCAGCATAGCATCAACATTGACTATACCCTGCGTCTGTTTCTGAGTGTTGAAAATAGTTTTACTTTCCCGCTTAAACTTTGCAGTAAAAAACTACCAAACCTTGGTCCATCATTTTACTCAAACAACTGTGCAAGAAGCTACTTTTTGAAATTTATTTTGCACATCAAGGATCCCCTGAATAACTTAAAGGTATCTGCCCTGGTAAAGATTGACGTTGCATTGGTGGATTATAAAGCACATGTGGGAAATATAGCACAGTTGAGAAAAGAGCGGGATCTTATTTACTTGGAAACATGTGAAAACACCTCACTGGCAGCTCAAGATATTTCAGCTTCTGTTCTGAAAAAAATTGCCGATTTGCCGTTGAGCTTTTACGGATTCCAAACGATTGCAGCCAAAAGAGGCAGTCGTGTTCTTGCAATTACCGTCTTCAACCTACCACATGCTGAAATTGAGGATTTTTCTTCTCTCTGGTTTGTCCCATATCACATAGAAGCAACGATAGCCCAAGAAAATGACTTTTTTTTGGTTCCCACTGGTACATATTGGGAATTTCGGGATAAATCACTCAACGCTTTAGATGGTGCACTCCAAATTGCAGTTTCGGACTCTTTAGCAGTATTCAAGAGCGTCTATGACACTTTAAGCATCAACCATGATTATTTAAGCATCGACGGTTTTTATAATTTGAAATTACTTGCAACATACTTAAGAGGAAAGTATGTTTTTCCGGGTATGCCGTTTGAGTCAATAGTCTCGCTAAAAGCGTACCCCATTAGTGGACTGAGGCCTAATTTAGCTTACATTTCGATACACCTCATTGAACAGACGGTAGGGCTCACCAAAAGTGGACTCATATCTGAGAAAAGGAAAATTCAGTTGGCGCACAAGCACAAGGTCAAGTTCACCTTTGATCGGGGCTTTTGCATTCCAGAACGGTATTCTGGTATATGTAAGATTCCCGATGTGGCCCCGACTGTGTATTCAAGCACCTTTCAAAGAGGCTATAGTATCTACATCGAACTTCAGTTGAAAGACAGGAAGTTTTCTCGGCAGTTGGAAGTTGTGATTTGTGATCCGAAAGTCCGTCCGTCGTTGCAGTGAAGGGTTGAGCAGGATGGGAATTAGTCGAAGTGAATGGACTGGTTTTACTTAAAGTGATTGATTTACTGGAGCTGATAACGTAGAAGATTCTGATACTTAGCCGTTAAAAGCGTAAGCCTTTAATAATGATGCATCTTGCTCGGAAAGATAGTAATTCTCCTTTGAAAGTCATTGAGGCTAAACGGGCCCAGGACCAGAAAAAAACAGCCCATTTTCAAATCTTATACAGCTCATATAAAGCTAGCAGCTTTGGACATCAAAAAGGCTACGGTAATTTGAGTTAGTGGAGGATTGATATATATATATGGCTGCAAATGGCTGCAAACGATCGCACTATACTAAGCTGCATAGGCCATGAACTCAGGTATTGACGGGGGAATACGGTAAAAAGCCTCTTTTATTATGGATAATTGTAACTTCATCAGTCCACCCGAATGTGTTGAATCCATAGAAAGTGTCGATGTGGTAGGCTCAATTGCAATGAGGCGTGCTCACCATACCCCAGACTCTGGGGTCTATCCTCCTAAGTACCACCACTTGTCCATTTTACTAACACACTTATTTTCATTGGCGTCTTTCCCGCCACATACCCAAATTCTTCCAATCCCTTCAAAATCAACAATTCACCGCTGCCTTGTGCCTCCACTCCACTCTTCCACCATTCGCACTCACCTTCAACTCCACCTTCTTCATGATAGGTATCGACGTCGGCACCAACGCCGTCCGGATAAGCTACAATGGCCGGGTCGGGTCCAAGCCGTTGGTCAGCACGGTCAGCGGATCCAAGCACACCTTGTCAATTGGCCATCTTTGGCTGCAGATCACCACTTTGCTCGAGGAGCTTGAAGAGTCACTGGGGGGTGAAAAATCCAGGGAGAAGCTGGTTACAGGGGGCGACGATTCAGAGGAATTGGGGTCTGGAGGCGCTGGAGGCGCTGGAGAGGCTGGAGAGGCTGAAATCACCAAACCACCTGGAATCACCGATTGGGCTGATATCAACGGTTCTGAAAAACCAAGCAAAAGCCACAAACCCCACAACGCCTGTCACGAGGACCCCGCCGTGTTTGTCGCCGCTACATGCTCAATGGCGGTGGTACAAAAAATCCAAACGGAAAACGGCGCTTTCTACGAACCGCTAGACGAAGAAATCATCGTGTGGATGGACTCTCGCGCCAAACGCCAGGCCAAGTGGTTGAACGAACAGCTACCCCAGGTCGTTCTCGCCCAGATCGGCGGCCAGGTCACGCCCGAGTTGGGCATCGCCAAGTTGAAGTGGGTCGACGAAAAATACAAAAACAGCGGCCGCCACGTTGTGGTTTTCGAGTTGTACGACTGGGTGAGTTATCTTTTCGCAGCCGGCGGCATGGCAGACGGAGTAGTGCGGTGTTTGGCGCCAGAGACGCTGTTTGGGCGCGGTTCGCACGCCATGGACGGTCTGGTGAAGGGCTGGTCTGACGAGCTCTTGGAGGAGTTGGGCATTCTGGTTCGCGTGGGGGCGCTCTGCGATGTCGGTTTTGGCGGTGGATTTGAATTTGGTAGGGAAAAAAGTGGTGGTGGTGTGGAATTGGAGGGTGCTGTGGTTGGTACGCCTGGTGAGGCAGAGGCGGGGGACAAAGTGCCAAAGATGGAGAGTGAGGTAAAGGCGGAGGGGAAGGTGCCAAAGACAAAGGCCAAAGTGAAAAAGGTGAAGTCGAAGAAAAGTGAGGAGATAAGGTCAGAGCCAGCTGCTACTTCCTCGGAGGATGGCGCTGTTGGTGCTGAAGCAGTGGCTGCGAAATCTGGGGATCTGAGTCCAGGACAGACGGAGGAGTCTGCCACGCAGAAGCCAAAAAAGTCTTTGAAGGAGAAGAAGCCGAAAAAGGCAGTAAAGGCAGTAGAGGAGAAGTTAGAGGAAACGGAGAAGCTAGTGAAGAAGAAAAAGCAGCCCAAGAAGGTCAAGGCAGAGGTCGAGGAGAATGGCTCAGGATCTGCGTCTGCTGAGAGGGCTTTGAGTGCAACGCCAGAGCCATCTGGTCAGAAGCAAAAGGCTCCAAAGGCTCCAAAGGCTCCAAAGGCTCCAAAGGCTTCAAAATCTACAAAAACTACAAAGGTATCAACACCAGGTGCTCCAGATCCAGAGACTCCAGTCCCAAGGATTCCAACGGCAAAGGTTGTGGATCGAGATGTTCCGACCCCTAAGGTTTCAACCTCTAAGGCTCCAACTCCAAGGGTTCCAACTCCTAAGGTTCCGACTCCAAAGGTTCCGACTCCAAAGGTTCCGACTCCAAGTGTTCCAACTCCAAGAGTTTCAAAGCTGACGGAATCGAACGATAGTGGAGCCGGCACTCCAAAACCTGCGAAGGCTCCCAAGGCTGCAAAACAGAAAAAGGCTTCTAGTCCGGGCACTGTTACTCCAGAACCTACGAAAAAGAAGTCCCCAAAGCCGAAGAAGGCAACAGTGAAACCGAAAGCAAAGGAGACTGACAGCCAAGAGCCTTCTGGCAGCAAAGATCCGGCTGAAAAGTCGAAACTGCCGGTTTCTGAAAAAGCTCCAAAAAGCAAGAAGCCAAAGAAGCTCTCAAAGAAGGATAAGCCTTTGGTGAAGGAAGCAACTCCAACGCTGGAAAACCCCCCAAAGAAGGAGAAGCCTTCGAAAATTAAGACCCCTCCAAAGGCAAAGACCCCTCCAAAGGCAAAGACCCCTCCAAAGGCAAAGACCCCTTCAAAGGCAAAGACTCCTCCAAAAACGGAGATTCCTTCAAAGACTCCAAAAACGGAAATACCTCCAAAGACATTAAAGACGGAAGATCCTCCAAAGTCTCCAAAGACAGAAGACGCTCTTAAGACAAAGAAACCCAAAAAGACCTCCAAGTCAAAGGAACCCCAATCCAAGCACCTGCTTGACTTCTTCCCCAAAGCTGGCGAACCCATTGCCAAAAATCGGTATCTTGGAGGAGTCGTTTTGCATGGCTGTATTGACTGCTACGCTGGCGTCGTTGCTCAAAGTAAACTTTCAAAGAACGCAACAAACCAAAAAGACATTGCCACTTTGGAGATGGTGGCAGGGACACTGACCTGTTTTATTGCTTCAATTCCAGGATCCACCGAACCGATTGACGGGCTTTGGGGACCGTTTGACCAGCTCATGTCTACTCCAGTGTATGCCTTTGGACAACCGGCTACAGGCAAGATGTTTGCCGAATTGCTGAGTGAATCTGGAGCTGATTTTGACACTTTGGAGAAGAACCTCAGACATGCAGAGAAAAAGACGAGGAAGACCTTGACGAACATTGCGAAGCACCACTTGTACTATGGAGATCGCTACGGTAACAGAAGCCCTTATGGAGATTTTGGGATGGGTGAGATAGTAGTCGCTGGACATAATGCTGACCCACGTTTATTGAATCTTGAACCCAAGAGCCTCCAATACTACTGTTTCATGGAATTTCTTGCATTCCAAACTAGGCAATTGGTGGATAGGTTAGGTCCTTTGGATGTGGTGAGAGTTAGTGGATCGCAGGCCAAAAACAAACGTTTTATGAGACTTCTCAGTGAGTTTTCCTTCTGTGGAAAGCTGCGTCCTGAAGTTCGTATAAGCGGTGGTGATTCTACGGTTTCTGGTGCCATTGCTGGATCCATCATTGGTGGTGACTACGATGCTGCTGTTGAGGATGAGATTTTCGAAGCAAAGCCCTTGCTGACCGTGGAAAAGGATGTTTTGGAGAAGAAGTACAAATATTTCCTTGAGCTCAGCGACTGGCAGCACCGGTTCCGCCAGACTATGAGAGAGAAACCTCCCAAGCGTGAAGAAGCCTAGGTCGGTTGACTCCATTAGGGCAGGTGTTCCCAAAGAGGAAAATTACGAACATGCTGCAAGGATTAGGTCCCCAGAACCGCAAGCATGACATTCTATGGGATTTGTTGATTCCGCTGGGGAGTCTGGGCTCTTGATGTTTGGGATGATGGCTCATAATGCTGCGCTAGTTTCGCAATGAGCCGCTGGAACAATGAGTATCAACAATGAAGGTTGTTGAAAGAAGGACTCGATCAAAATAAACAGTGGAGCGGCTGACCTGTCGCTGGTTGTTCTGGGGTGCTTGAATACGAGGATTGTCATGGTGATACGTTTGGCTGCAACTACACGCGAGAGCCTAGAATTTGTTTTCATTGGGGATGGTTTTGTCAATGCTTTCATAGGGCTGATTGACAGACTTTCGTGAATTGAGTTTGAACAATGTGGTATTGACGTTCACGAATGTTGTAAGCCACCTCACTGAATGACATTCATTGTTTTAGGCTTCTGGCACGATGGGTAGTTTGGTGAAGGTAGATTTGGCCATGTGGCAGTCATACTGATGAAACAACGAATCAGTTGCCTTGTTGATTTAACGAGTCATAAAGCAAACCCTCAAATCTACAGTGACAGTCCACCACTAGTACCGTAAGTGTACCAAGCTACAAACATTACATTGACTTCAAAGCGACGGCTACAGCAGCCATAGTATAAAATTACACTTACAAAAATCATAATAGAAAATCCCCAGTCGTAGATTGACCGTTGACTCGACTAACACTACCCCATTCTGACTCTGAGACACAATTTTTCAGCCGTACATACCCACCACAGACCCAAACCATCATCACCACCATCACCACAGTAATTCAATTATCAATTTCCATAGATAAAAACCCCCTCTCATTCATCCAAACCCTCAAATCCTCAATTGCATCTCCCTCTCTAGACCACCCCTCTGCACCATCTCCATCTTATCGACTGCGATTACCCACTCCACAGCAGATCACCAGCCCCACCACAAACCACCCAAAACGCCAAAAATCGCCCAATTCCCAAATCAAAATCTCCCACCACCCTCCAAAAATGAAATCCTAACCAAAAACCTCAAAAACTCAAATTGCACCGGTTCCCCTCCCGACCCTCCCCAGGCCATCTCCGCACACCTCACAGCCATCACCACCATGTCCAACTTGTACTTTGCGTACTCAATCAAAAAAGAGTACACGCTGCCGCCGCTCGGGCATCCGGCGATTCTGGCTCTGTCGGGCAACCGGAAGAAACACATCAGAGCCTGCGACGCCTGTGCTGTTCGAAAGACAAAGTGTGAAGAAACACGGCCTTGTCGAAACTGCCGAAACAATGGACTCGAATGTACGGAATTGCGGGAACGCAAGAAGATGGGGCCCAAGACGTTGCGGAAACGGACGATTGAGCTGATCCACCTGTTGGAACGGAGGCTGCTGGAGGAGAAAAGCCCCGATTTGGCTGGGGTAGCTGAGATGGTTTCCAGGGTGAAGAGGGACGCTGTGGAGGCGGTTTTTCCGCTTGTGGCGCCGTCGATGGTGGGTTCTTTGGACGAGGTGGTCAAGGCGATCAGCGGGGGAGCTGCCAATGGCGGTGAATCTGGGAAATCCAGCGGTTCTGAGAGTTCAACCAATGGTGATGGACCAGGACACAGATTTGAGCCTGAAGTTAGGGCAAAGGAGTTGGCTTACATTTCACTCGGCCTTCTTCTTCTATCGTCGTCGTCAGCGCCGGATTTGGACGACTTCCGTGACCATGTGGCCCTGTTGTATGGAGCGTTTGGCAGCATGCTGTTCTCCAGCCAAAACTACTCTTCTGCCACCCACTACTACATGTCCTTGACGGAGCTCCACATGTACGGCATTCTCTTGTTTCAGGGAACGCCGTTTTGTGTGAGACAATTGGTGCATCTACGAAGCGCCGTCACCCATTACCAGCTTATCGCTACTTCGCTGGATAGCGACATCAGCGGGCTTCTGGAGCTACGACGCATTTTGTACGCTGCCGAGCGGAGCGCTGCGTTGTTTTCCACCGAGGAGGCCTTCAAGTCGGGGTGTCTTATTAATACCGGGCCGTCCTCGCCTTTTATCTCCAATCCAAACAGCAAAACCTTGGTTTTGGACTGCGCCCACGATATATTCAAGCTTTTGGAGGAACACGGTGTCTACACGAGGATCCCCAGTCTCCCTAATCTTTTCCTCTGGCGCTACGTGACGTTTTCGAACCAGACTGGTGTCTACGGAAGCGTCAAGATGAACGCTCAAAATGTGACCCAGGCAGGTGCTCAGACACCGTTTGTGCAGCTTCTTGTGGCTTTGATTTCGTTCAAGGTGCTTGTGCTTCACTCTGGCGAGTATACACCAATAACTGTGAGCAACGAGCTTCTTGAATTCATCACTCGGGCCATTATCGCTCTCATGGCTGCCAAAACCGATCCTTACTTCACCACCCGCCTCACGGCCTTCTCGCTAGTGCCTCATCTATTGGACCTTCTTCGCTGCTACTTCGAATCGGTCAGCAATGCCCCGCCTCCCGACGCCGTTGATCGGCTCAGAGAGTACACCCACTTGATTCTTCCCTTGTGCGCCAAAAGCTCTTTTATGGGAGTAGCCAAGTTGGATCCGGTCTTGGCGGGTTGGTTCTCGCGAGAAGCCAGCGATTGGGAGTCCAGCGCCTCCAGTGCCTCAACCTAGGGCGGAGCTTCTTTACTATCACTCAACTTCAATTCGTCGCATACATTGTGGCTCTTTGGCTGCGAATGATGCCCTCAGTACCAGCCATTGCGGTGTGCAATTGACCTATCAGACACTAGATGATGAGCGGCTGCTTGCCCTAATTCAATTCTCCACCTAATTCCCTTGCTAATGTCAGAATTTGTATAATTATTACTAACCTACCTCACTGCTCGAATCCCACGTACTCGCTCTCCGGTCTCGGCAAGCCAATTCCGCCACCAACCCACTTTTACAAAAAAACGAGCCAAAAATCTTTACAACAACGTATTTCAATTGCAAAAACCAAAAGTTAAATAAAATTCAATCGCCTCCTCCCCAGTTCGGCCGGTTGCTGGAGCCATAGTGAGCTTCGCACGACCAGTGTTCTGTCCTAATATGCGTCGGAAAGATAAGATTACCACCAACACCATCATGTCATTGACAGACGACCAGGTATGTACAGAGCCACGAAACAATATCCAACCATTCACTAACAGTAGGTCAATGCGGAGCTCCGCAAGATGAAGGCCTTCATTGAGAAGGAGGCCCAGGAGAAGGCCAAGGAAATCAGATTGAAGGCTGACGAAGAGTACGAGATTGAGAAAGCGTCCATTGTCAGATCGGAAACCGCTGCCATTGACAGCATCTACGAGCAGAAGTTGAAGAAGGCCTCGTTGGCCCAGCAGATCACCAAGTCCACCATCAGCAACAAGACCAGATTGAAGGTGTTGGGTGAGAAGGAGAAGGTCTTGGACGAGATCTTTGAGGACGCCAAGAAGGAGTTGGCTAAGATTGCCGGCAAGAAGGGCGAGTACAAGACCTTGTTGGCTGGTTTGATTGAGGAGGGTGCGTTGGCCCTCATGGAGAGCAAGGTTTCCGTTAGAGTTAGAGAGTCCGACGTCTCTGTGGCCAAGGAGGCTGCAGAGGAGGCTGCCAAGGGCTACCAGGACAAGTCCAAGCAAGAGATCTCCATTGCTGTCGACGAGAAGGAATTCTTGCCCAAGGACTCTGCTGGCGGTGTGGTTGTGGTGAACGAGCTGGGCAAGATCGAAGTCAACAACACCTTGGAGGAGAGATTGAAGTTGTTGTCCGAGGAGGCATTGCCCGGCATCCGTCTTGAGTTGTTTGGCCCATCGCCCACCAGAAAGTTCTTTGACTAGTCTGGTTGTAGCATTCAGTTCCGTACTTTCTCTTTAAAAAACATTTTACGATAGGTTGGTGTAGGCGTGGTTGTGAGATCGTGTTGAAGGGGTTTTCTAAAGGCGTACCCATTGTTGAAGTGGTGCTTGCTGTTTGGTAGACCGGTTCGATATTAGACTGGTTTGTAGTATACTGGAAAATAGACTACCAAGCCAAGCAGGATCTCAATTGGGGATCTGATGTGAACAGATACTTCCATTTAATCAATAATTGTGTATTTTGAGAGATAAATGTCCAGAACATCCAACGAATAGTCATGAACTTCCTTACTGTGTTGGTCAACCACAGTATTCCATCCTAATACCACCTAAAAGCCAATAATCAAACTTTTCAATTACACAACAGCATAATCAACTTCTTGAAAACACCCCCTCCAAAGAAAACCTATCCTCCATGATTTCCCACTTTTTTATCGACATGTGTCTTTTTCACTTCTCTCGGAAACCAGCCTAATGGTTGCGAAATACTATACAACCTCACATACTAAGCTACACCGTAAAACCCACCCCACCCTTCAAAATCCACAAAACCACATAAAAATCCTCCAAACACTAAATCTGAAAAAGCGTACCACCAAAAAATCACTTCACCCTTTCGTCCCCCACCCTGTTATCATCGCCACTCGGAGAAACCGTTGAGAAACGCATATCGCACTCATCTCTCATTGCTACACCATCAACACTTGCATACCCCATGAGCTTTCTACGGCTGGCCCGGTGGCTCCAGCGGCCGCTACATACAGGAACTCGCCGACTAAGAGACGCCAACGTGCACAAATTTCTGACGCCGCTTTGGGGGCTGATTCCCGATAATGTGTCAAACGAAGATCTAGGAGCCTTTCACACCATGGTTCAGCCTATCGTGCCCAGCGACCAGTTTGTGCTGTGTACGACATTTGACGCTGCCGGTAACGTCACCGCTGTCTCGAAGAAGTACCCGAAGATGTCGTTTTTGAAAGAAAACAGCTTGTTTCCTCGAGACCTACGCAAGGTGGATACATCGCTGATTGACGTGGTGCCTCTGATCATGGTTCGGCCGGGAAAGGCCATCATCATCAATTTACTCCATATCAAGGCAATTATCCAGCGGGACAACGTGAAGGTGTTCGATACGGCAAACCCGAAAATGGCCTCCAAGCTAGGGATCTTCATGTACGACTTGGAGATGAAGCTCAAGGGGCCGGGCCTGGCGCCCTATGAATTCAAGGCTTTGGAGAGTATCTTGATTTCCGTCTTGAGTTACCTTGAAGCTCAGCTACACGCACAGAGGTCCAGTTGTGGTCTTATATTGCTGGAGCTCGAGGACCATATCAGTAGGGAGAACCTACAGCAGTTGCTTATCAAGCTGAAGAACTTGACGAGTTTCTTCCAGAGGGCCACGTTGATCAGGGACGTTCTCGAGGAGCTTCTAGAGAACGACGAGGACATGACAGGCATGTATCTCACAGCCAAGCAGGAGTATACCCTGGAGGCCTCACCGAACGACTTTTCTGACGTCGAAATGATCCTTGAAACGTACTACACTCACTGTGACGAGGTGGTTCAGCAGGCAGGCTCCCTTATTTCCGATATCAAGGCCACAGAGGAGATCGCCAACATCATTTTGGACGCCAACAGAAACTCCTTGATGTTGTTTGAACTTAAGGTTACGATTTACACTCTAGGGTTCACCGTGGCCACCTTGGTGCCCGCTTTCTACGGTATGAACTTGAAGAACTACATTGAAGAGTCCTACTACGGTTTTGGCGCTGTGGTGGTGCTTTCCATCATCCAGGGTCTTCTCATCACGGCATGGAACTTTAAAAAATTGCATAGGGTACAAAAACTCACCATGATGGACCACACGCCAACTCCAACTGTGAAGCCCTCATACTATTACTCCTCCTCATGGAAGCGCAAGAGATGGTGGCAGCAATTGCTTTTTGGTGGTAGAACAAAGTACCACAGACCTACCAACAAGGAACGAGACGTGATATGGCGCATGTTGAGCGACGACAAGCTCCCCAAATAATGTAAATAGACTACTTAGACGTTCACGCTATGTGTATATTATGTGCTATTGTACAACCCAAATGCTCTGTTCTAGTCGCTGCTTTCGTCGCTGGAAGAGTCTTCCTCCTCTTTATTGTCGTACGAGGGCACCTCCTCAGCAGCAGCTTCGGGGATTTCGGTAACTTGTGGAGCCTCGGTAGGATCGCTCTCATCGTCGAATCTCAAGTGGTTGGCTCCAGCAGAGGCGGCAGCGGAGGTGGAAGATTTTCTTCTTTCGTGAGACACTGGCTGAGCGTCAAGCTCGCTCTCTGGCGACACCAACGTACCATCCAACGAAACCATTCTGCCGGCGGTGTTGACGTTTCTCACAGTGAACTTGATCTTGCCCTCGACCTTGGTGCCGTTTTCGTCGGTCCAGTAACCGTATGATCTGAACTTGGAGTTACCAGAATCGCCTTGTTCTTCGCCATACTCGTCGGCCTGGCTGGGCACAAACTCCCACTCTTGAGGGAGGTTTCTCACCTTGATCGATGCATTGAATGTGTCGTGAACAAGCAAACCAATGTGGGATTGCGTTTGCATGTAGATGTAGCCTTCCAACACATCGCCGGGCTGGGGCTGCCATATGAGAAGGTCAACAGTGGCCCATAAAAATGCAAAGGGGGTAACATCGTTCACCTTGACCAACGACGTCTTGTCGGTCGAGTCTCTATCGTTGGACAATGTAACATTGAAGTAGCCCAACACGACACCTCTGGCCTTGGCGTTGTACTTCATGACCAAAGGCTCCAAGTGCTGTGCTTTGATACCGTTGATAGGATTGCCCAAGTGGCATGGGGCTAATGAAAGGTAGAACTTTGTGCGGACCACCTTGAAGGTTTCTGAGATGCCATCGTCGTTGACTTTGTTGGTTGTTTTGGCGATGTTTCTTTTTTTAAGAGGGGGCTCGGCCACGTCGGGCGAGCTTTCCCTGACCTCTGCTGGCATGGTATCTATAAGTGTGGGTTTTAGGATGCGAGCCGATGCGACTTAACGACAATCCAAGCTTTTCAAATTTGGTGATGAGGGCCTCATCATCGTACTGCACACGACCTCCCCCGGTGGTGATAAATGGCTGCGAAATCTACCGTGGACTGGCCTGCTGTTGTCTGAACAGGATGCTTTCCTCTTTTTTCAAAACATTGTCACGGGACTTGAACAGGCCGGTGTAGCGGTTTGACATGAGCGGCTGCTTGAAAATGGCAAAGTTTTTCATGAGACCACGAGCGTTACGAGTTGGTGCGTCTTCCTCTGGAGTGTACTCAGGAACGCCAGTGAAGCGGACTTTCTTGATAATGACGCCTTCAACGCTGGAGGTGGAGTCTTTGGTGGGTGTGTCTGAAAGGACAGTGTTGGGCGTTGACGAAGCGGATTCGGCACTGAGACGAGGCTTGACTTCGTCGTTGAAAACAACGCTGTTTCTTTGTGTGTTCAGCTTGGTGATTTGAGCTCTAGTAGGGGGACCTTTCTTCACGATAGGCTCCTCTATAACGGGCGGTGGTGGATTCTTAGGGGCCTCAGGAGTTCTGTGGATCTTTGTGGCGCTGGGATTGTTGGGATCAAAAACGACACTGGTGAGTGTTTCTCTCTGCTGAGAATGGATACGACCGCTTTTGGTGGCTTCCTTAAGATGGAGAGCAAATTTTTGATTGGCCGTCAACTTTGGCGCAGAGACCGGCTCTGCATCCTCTTCAAGTGGAGTAAGCTGGGCGGTTTTGTTAGCGAGCGGCGAAGTAACATCGGGTGTGT